CCTCTTATGCTTCCCAAGTCACTCCAACCTATTCCTCACTTCACTCAGACCAATCATCTCATTCTCCAGATACCCCCCGAATCTCCCCAGAACTAGATAACTTCATTACCCTACAACAACAACCCTATCACCTTGACATCCCAACCATAAACCAAATCTCATCCACAATAGATTCATCCAACCCTCCTACCCCTACAGCCTCTTCAATTTATACTGAATCATTAGCACCATCATCCACATCTACTGAATCTTCACTCAGCACTAATAGAGCTTACCGCACTTTTAAAAGAAAGTTCCCCAACCATCCTTTCCCAGCGAAACCAGGAACAGCCCGTGAATATATCAACCATCCAAAACACACTAACACAAAAGAATTTTTAGCTATCACCTTACCCTCATTTCCACAATACACCTTAAACACCCCTCACGACACTAACGAGACACGTAACTTTGTAGACGAACACGTTTTAATGCCTACCCTTCCTTGGACCTCATATTATCATTTTACTAATCCCCTTTGCTTACCTTTATCTAGCACTCACATCGATATAGAACGAAATAAGGACATGCTATATCGACTCACTACACCACTAACATCTAGACAATTTACTTACATTGGATATAAAAAATCACTAAAAACACACACTGCACCCCGAGCAAATGAATTTACACTAGAATATTACGATCATAACATCATCAGAACTAACCAAGATCAATTCTTAGACGACGATCGCTTCGCTAACCCACAAATCACCGAGAAATTTTTCATTAAAACACCATATGTATTTAAACTAAATATCTTCGATCGCAAGTTTGACCACATTATTTCAGAAGCACTAACAGACACACAAGCCTACGAAAGTTTTAAAGAACGCTTCCAAATATTTTCACTAACCTTTCATTTCCTTGCACCACATGAAAGAGATTTGCACTGCTCACACGATATTATGTTGCGCACTAAACAAACACACACATATACTTATTATCGTTTTATCCAAAATCACTTCGACCTACACACTCCCTCCAGACAACCACACCATCGTTTTCAATTCATCAATTCCAAATACACCTCACCATTCTTTCTTAACTTCACATATTGTATTAAAGATACTAACCTTCATGGTATTCTTCGAAATTATGATCCCATAACCCAAATGTATATTTTTTGTCCCATCACCAAGACCTTCAACGCAGAAGAATCCCGACCCCTCCTTATCCCACACGAGTTTGTACAACCTATAGAAATCCCCATTTTAGAATTCATCCATAACACTAAATTCAATCACAAATTATATAATCTAATCCAAAACACACCTTATGAATTTGCAGTTGGCATTGAAGAACTAACCACCATTAAAGCACTTCAATTGCTTTGGCCACTACTTCAAACTAAAAATATCATCCGCATTTTAGCTAAATTACTAACAACTTCAGATCTCATCCACGACATCTTCCCCCACGGTTTCTTCCCCGACGACTAACAGGTAAGTATGAATTATACATATTACTAACTAATTAAAATATTAGAAACTCACCATTCTTTATCCATGTTTTCTTTAGAATTTTAGCCTTCACCCAACGATCATCTGAAAAATTCACAAAAGAAAATAAAAAATTGAAAACTTCTTCAAACTGTTTAAAACTCTATTAATTTTTTTTCATCAAATAATTAAATAAATATAATACCAATGCAGTAATTTAATTTATAAATTTTTCCCCCACAAGCAGTAAATCTAAAAATAATGAAAATTTGTAACTTAATTTTCCCCAACAACTAGCAGTAAAATTAAAAATTCTATGTAGTAAATTAATAAGAAGCAAATGCAGTACTAACCTTTTGATATTTTCATTCACTCGCACAAGAATTCTATCCAAACTCGCACAGCTCGCCCACGAAGAATTGTTTAAATAATGAATTTCAGTTTCAAGCTTTCACAACTCAACAACTCTAACACACGATAACAAGTTTCAAACTTTCCTTTAACCCGGTTGGAAAGGAATTATATACTAAACAAAACTAACCAATGCAGCTTACTAAACACCACAACACATAGCATAACAGCATGACTAAGAAAAGGAAACCAACGGTACCCAAACCGGATTAACCCAGTTTAAAACTGGATAATTTATTCTTTTGAAGACTATTATAAAGTCTAAGAAAGAAATAATAAAACACAAAAAAGTCGAAAGACAAACCCATACCACAAACAATTTGATTTTTGAAAAAAGGACACAACCAACAAAACATAAGAAAAACCACAACAAACCCAACATAAAACGTTGTCACATAACAGGACCTCTCACAAAAACCGCATGCAATCATACTCCCACTCCTGGCCTAACCCACCAGGAAGGACGTCCTGAGCATGCTCTATAGTCGGCCTAACCCACCGCGCTACATCCACGCTTTGTGACCACACTCCTATTTTTAATAAGAGCTACTCAAGGGTGAGTAACTCTTCAAAATAACTGAACTAAAACAAAAAGCTTTTGTGAAAACAACTAACTAAAATCATAATTAAAAGATATTAAACTAATAAAAGTTTTATAAAATGTAAATTACATTATGCAATACATAGATCAGAATACAACACTAAGGACGAACATCCAAAGACAAAACGACCCCACTACACTCGAGAAAGAATGGCCAACTACAATCGATATGCCGCTCACAATCACAACTCAAAGGATTTAGAGTACGACTTGACTTCGCAGAAAAGGACTTCATTGAACTAGACCAATGACCACCTCGATGTTCAAGTATACGTACAAATCCGAGTAACCAGGCATCCCCTCCATGCACAATCTCCACGCCATTCCTAGACAAGATCAAAACACAAAGAAGTTCTCATTCATGAAACAGAAAAACCTGACATAGCCAACCATTCTGAAATCAGATTTGAGTTTGTTGCAAAGACCCAGTCGTTGTCATGAGATGACACAACGATCGAACCTGGAACTTCTCTAACAAGAGAACCCAGAAGAAATATGATGTTCGCCAAATACCAACGTCCACCTGATCTAAACTACATTTTATGATTGGATAAATTAGATATTTTACCAATGTAAAGTATTTAATATTAACCAATCATGATCCATCTGACTAACAATCCACTTATTTGTAAGTGCTGAAATTACTTGTAATTTCAGCACCAGAGAGATTTGAATTTAACTTAGAAATTAGTTGACTCTCCAAGAAGACTTCAGCAACCGCAATAAACCAGTATACCCTAGATCTATTGAGCCTAGCAGAGACTAGTTAAACAACCTGAGACTAGATAGTATAAGAGTAAGATTAGGATCGGTATTAGCCTAAGAAGTTGCACGAATCTATCCGGCCGAAAATAAGATAGCGTGACGAGCAGACGGTGTACCCTATCCGAAATTACTCTATGAGTTATACCCATCGGTCATAACTCAAATTCTTGAAGTTTGTTTTGCATTTAATTTAAAGACTTCAAAATTCCAGGTCAGCGATTTATAATCATATTTAATAAAGTGAAAATTAAACAGTTTGTTCATTCGTTTTACGTAAAAGCGACAAATAATTTTTTTCAAATTGAAATGTTAGCAAAAAAAATATTAACTTCAAAAACAAAAAAATCATATCATTTTTGAATAAGACACTCTGTTGAATCCTTACAACTGTTTGAGCCGCAAAAAAGATGCCATACGCCACGGTTCTTTTCAGAAATTTTTTTTTTAGCCCACTGACTTAAAACCACACCAAATCTTACTCAAAGTTAAACAATTTGCTTATTCATTTTGTTTGCAACCAAGAGGTATTTTTATTAAATTGAACTGTAAGCAGAAAAAATGCGATGCAAAAAAATTTATAACATAACATAATATTTGAATATTATCCCCTCACAAACATAAAATTTAGTGTAATTGGAATGCAACTCTTGTTTGATTTTTGCCATCAAATTCAAACGTATCAAGCACTTCGCAAGATTATGGCAGTATTAATATTATTAAATTGACTTACATTTAACAACTTTTTTCATTCAACTTTTTTCTAACTGTATTCCAGCCTTATTAAACAAAAAACTTATTAGAAACATCAAAAACCGACAAAATAAAAGCATAATTTTTTCGAAAAGTTTTAACTCAATGAAAACTCTCCATATTGATAATTTCTGGTAATGTTTTTCAATTGCGACTCTATTTATACTCGGTGGGCAGCGCTCTGCCTGAAAATTATAAGGAAATTAACTTATTTCCGGGAAAAGAGATAACACCCAGCTTCTTTATTGACAGTCGGTACTAATTACTAGGTGAAATAAATTTTTCTTTTAAAAAAAAGAGAACGGACAATAGTATAGGTAATAAAAGAAATCAAAAGCGGGCGATATGAGCTCGAGCTTAACCGCCCCTTAATTCATATCGAAATGTTTTTGGAAATGAAAATACTGAAAACTAAAAACGTAACTAAAAAACTAAAATAAAACCTATTGACTAAACACTCTACAGATTAAGGACAAATTCCGACTAAGTTTTGACAAAATCGCGCTGAAATTGAACTGAACGCTTCTTACCAGGTTAAAATACGATTCTTATTAGAAACTAATTACTCCGGAACCATAATTGCTAACGAACTTCCCAAGTGTCTCGATCAACCAGAAACCGTCACAACTGCGACCAATATCATGAAAACGTTTAATAAATTTAATAGAAATGGTTAGCCAAATTGTTTTCAGTAAATTCTAGACACGATTGAGCCAATTTTTTTCTCGTTCTATAGCAACGGCTGTACTAAATTGTTTTTCTCATTTGCTTATAGAAACGGTCGAGTCAAATTATTTTTCTTCTTAAGTTCTATATTAAGGGTTGAGCCAAACGTTTTTTTAAGCATGGAACGAGCCATAAGTTAGTTGAGGGGGTATCGGTTTAAGTTCGTTCAAAGTTTTGATTTTTTGTGAGCACTTTGCAAATACGTGGCAGCTTGAAGACTACGCGTAAACTCAAAAATCATGTTCGGGAACAATTATCAAAAAATCTTTGCAACAGGCTCAAGTTTTGAATTTTAATGGTAATATGGAAGTAGGGAGTTCAATAGTAATATATAGCAATGATAATGGCTATTAAACTTCATAACTGAGTCGGCAACCAGTACCATATTTGCTCAAGTTTGAATCAAGTTTGCTCAAGTTGATCATTTTTCAAGTTTGAAAAATCGACGTCTTTTTTGGCAGATCTCTTCATTTTTCTTTCACTGAAGCGCATGGAGTGAGTCGAATAGTTCACCATTGGGGTCTCAAATGGTTATACACAGCACACCAGTCGCTGTTTTCGTCTTCTCCGTTATTGCAGTCGGGTGAGCTGTCACAAAGCCACTTGATGGGAATGCAGTTCGATCCCCTGCTACTCCAGCTATTGCGTCCTGCAACTCCCGAAGCACACGTGAAACTGTCGATGTACATACCTAAAAGTAAGTGAAATTAAAATTTAGCGTAAATTAATAACCTTGATTGATGCATTGTGAGTTAGGACCGAAGTGTAACTCATAGAGTAATTTCGGATAGGGTACACCGTCTGCTCGTCACGCTATCTTATTTTCGGCCGGATAGATTCGTGCAACTTCTTAGTCTAATACCGATCCTAATCTTACTCTTATACTATCTAGTCTCAGGTTGTTTAACTAGTCTCTGCTAGGCTCAATAGATCTAGGGTATACTGGTTTATTGCGGCTGCTGAAGTGCTCGGGAGAGTCCAACTAATTTCTAAGTTAAATTCAAATCTCTCTGGTGCTGAAATTACAAGTAACTTCAGCACTTACAAATAAGTGGGTTGTTAGTTAGATGGATCATGATTGGTTAATATTAAATACTTTACATTGGTAAAACATTTAATTTATCCAATCATAAAATATAGTTTAGATCAGGTTCCACCCATCCGGGTTTTACAGAGTTTTTTAGAACAGTTCTTCTGTAATTCAAGGATGGATGATGGACGTTGGTATTTGGCGAACATCATAATTTTCTTCCGTTTCCTCTTTTGTTAGGGAAGTTCCAGGAAGCTGGAGTTAGAGACATAAGACGTTTCAGAATGGTTTGCTATGTCAGGTTTTTCTGTTCTGCGTGGAGAACTTCTTTTGTGTATGATCTAGTTTGGGAATGGCGTGGAGATTGTGCGTGGAGGGGATGCCTGGTTACTCGGATCTGTACGTATACTTGAACATCGAGGTGGTCATTGGTCTAGTTCAATGAAGTCCTTTTCTGCGAGGTCAAGTCGTACTCTAAATCCTTTGAGTTGTGATTGTGAGCGGCATATCGATTGTAGTTGGTCATTCTCTCTCGAGTGTAGTGGGGTCGTCTTGTCTTTTGATGTTCGTCCTTGGTGTTGTATTCTGATCTATATATTGCATCATGTAATTTTACATTTTATAAAACTTTTATTAGTTTAATATTTTTTAATAATGATTTTAGTTAGTTGTTTTCACAAAAGCTTTTTGTTTTAGTTCGGTTATTTTGAAGAGTTACTCACACTTGAGTAGCTCTTATTAAAAATAGTGGTGTGGTCACAAAGCGTGGATGTAGCGCGGTGGGTTAGGCCGGCTATAGAGCATGCTCAGGACGTCCTTCCTGGTGGGTTAGGCCAGGAGTGGGAGTATGATTTCATGCGGTTTTTGTGAGGGGTCCTGTTATGTGACAACGTTTTATGTTGAGTTTGTTGTGGTCTTACTTATGTTTTGTTGGTTGTGTCCTTTTTTCAAAAATCAAATTGTTTGTGGTATGGGTTTGTCTTTCGACTTTTTTGTGTTTTATTATTTCTTTCTTAGACTTTATAATAGTCTTCAAAAGAATAAATTATCCAGTTTTAAACTGGGTTAATCCGGTTTGGGTACCTTGGTTTCTTTTTCTAAGTCATGCTGTTATTCTATGATTTGTGGTATTTAGTAAGCTGCGTTGGTTAGTTTTGTTTAGTATATGATTCCTTTCCAACCGGGTTAAAGGAAAGTTTGAAACATGTTATTATATGTTAGAGTTGTTGAGTGTGAAAACTTGAAACTGAAATTCATTATTTTAAACAATTCTTCGTGGGCGAGCTGTGCGAGTGTGGATAGAATTTCTGTGCGAATGAATGAAAATATCAAAAGGTTAGTACTGCATTTGCATTTATTTAATTTACTACATAGAATTTAGAAATTTACTGCTAGTCATGGGGGAATATTAAGATACAAATTTTCATCATAATTAGATTTACTGCTTGTGGGGGAAAATTTTAGAAATGAATTTACTGCATTGGTATTAAATTTATAAATTTATAAGTGTAAGAGATTAATAGAATTTTTGAAATCTGTTTGATGAAATTTGCGATTTTTATTTGTCTTTTGTGGTTTTTGTAGGTGATCGTCGGATGAAGGCTAAAAATCTAAAGAAAACATGAATAAAGTATGGTGAGTTTTTTAATATTCTAATTAGTTAGTAATATTCATTTAATTCATACTTACCTGTTAGTCGTCGGGGAAAAAACCGTGGGGGAAGATGTCGTGAATTAGTTCTGAAGTTGTTAGTAGTTTAGCTAAGATGCGGATGATATTTTTAGTTTGAAGCAGTGGCCAAAGCAATTGAAGTGCCTTGATAGTGGTTAGTTCTTCAGTGCCAACTGCAAACTCATAAGGTGTGTTTTGGATTAAGTTATATAATTTGTGATTGAATTTAGTGTTGTGGATGAATTCTAAAATTGGGATTTCTATGGGTTGTACAAACTCGTGCGGGATAAGGAAGGGTCGGGATTCTTCGGCGTTGAAGGTCTTGGTAATGGGACAGAAGATGTACATTTGGGTTATGGGGTCATAATTACGAAGAATACCATGGAGGTTAGTGTCTTTAATACAATATGTGAAATTTAGGAAAAATGGTGAAGTGTATTTGGAATTAATGAATTGAAAACGATGGTGTGGTTGTCTAGAGGGTGTGTGTAGGTCAAAGTGATTTTGGATGAAACGATAATAACTATATGTGTGGGTTTGTTTAGTGCGCAACATAATATCGTGTGAGCAGTGTAAATCTCTTTCGTGTGGTGCAAGGAAATGAAAGGTTAGTGAAAATATTTGGAAGCGTTCTTTAAAACTTTCGTATGCTTGTGTGTCTGTTAGTGCTTCTGAAATAATGTGATCAAACTTTCGGTCGAAGATGTTTAGTGTGAATGTATATGGTGTCTTGATGAAAAATTTCTCGGTAATTTGTGGATTAGCGAAGCGATCGTCGTCTAAGAATTGATCTTGGTTAGCTCTGATGATGTTGTGATCATAGTATTCGAGTGTATATTCGTTAGCTCTAGGTGCAGTGTGTGTTTTTAGTGATTTTTTATATCCAACGTAAGTAAATTGTCTAGCGGTTAGTGGTGTAGTGAGTCGATATAGCATGTCCGTATTTCGCTCTATATCGATGTGAGTGTTAGATAAAGGTAAGCAAAGAGGGTTAGTGAAATGATAATATGAGGTCCAAGAGAGAGTAGGCATTAAAACGTATTCATCTACGAAGTTGCGTGTTTCGTTAGTGTCGTGGGGGGTGTTTAAGGTGTATTGTGGGAATGAGGGTACGGTGATGGCTAAAAATTCTTTTGTGTTAGTATGCTTGGGGTGGTTGATGTATTCACGGGCTGTTCCTGGTTTTGCTGGGAAAGGATGGTTGGGGAACTTTCTTTTAAAAGTGCGGTAAGCTCTATTAGTGTTGAGTGAAGATTCAGTTGATGTGGATGATGGTGCTAATGATTCAGTATAAGTTGAAGAGGGTGTAGGGGTAGGGGGGTTGGATGAATTTATTGTGGAGGAGATTTGGTTTATGGTTGGGGTATTAAGGTGGTAGGGTTGTTGTTGAAGGGTAATAAAATTATCTAGCTCTGGGGAGATTCGGGGGGTGTCTGGAGAATGAGATGATTGGTCAGAATGGTATGAGGAATAGGTTGGGGTAACTTGGGAAGCATAAGAGGGTGTGGGAGTAATTGGGTCAGGGTTATTGGATAATATGGGTTGAAAAGGGGGTTGAGAAAAATTAGAAGAGTTATGAAAATTATTGGATGGGGATGGTTCTGAGTCGGCGAATTCATCGGGGGTTTCAATATTCGGGTTATTTAGCTGTGAGATGGAGTATAAAACTGAGATGTGTGAATTAGTGTCGGAATTCATGCCTGATGTTACATTGCTAGATGGAAAATCGGGTGGCGGAAAAGCAAAAAGTGGTATTATTGGGATTGGAGAGGTAAGATTGGTTGGGTGGGAATTTGATCGGTGTAGTGATCCAAGTTGGCGGCTCATCGTGGGCTAAAAAAATGATTATTTTGAGACTGAAAAGCGGTGGTATGGGGTTGTTCAATAATTTGTTCATAAGTATTATCATCTTGTGACTGGTGTGTCATTATATGTTGAATGGGACTTTGTGATGTGGTGAGTCGAAAATTTGGATTATGTGTGATGGCTAAGTTTCGAAAATTTCGTGGGACTAGGGATAGTGGATGGTTATTTGGTAGGGCTGGTAATTGTGGTGCCGTTGGCGTTATGTCTACATTGTTATGTTCTTCGTCGTATGTATTTTGTCGTGTTGTTATTTTTGTGTTATATTCTTTTATTTGTGCGTCTAAAAGAATTTTGTTTATAGATGTAGAAAAGATTCCAAAAAATCCTGCAAATAGTATGCGTGCTACACTTGCTTGTCTGTTTACTTGTGTGTGTATAGCACATGTGTTGTAGATTCCTTTTAAAAGTGAGAAAAGAAATCCAATAAAGTTAAACATTGCGTATAAAATAGTCAATTTTTCTAAGATGTAGTAGGGCCATCCTAGAAAATCGAGGATCTCATTTTTGAGTGTAACAAAGCTAAAAATGTTAATTGGTGATATATCTTGGGGACGGTATTTTTCACCGTTTAGATATATGTAATCTTTAATGTCCTTAAAATATCCGCTATAGTCTTGCGTGTAGATATCGGCAAATCCTGCGGTTTCTGCAAGTTTGCGTAAATTTTGGTCTATTGATTGTCTTTGTATAGTGTCCATTTGTGTTAATAATTCTTGGAATTGTTGTGTTCTAATGTGATGTTGAATATCTGATTTTGAATAGATTCCTATTGATTGTAAGTCTATATTTGGGTTTCGAGCAATAGCGCGAATGCTTTCTGGTGAAAATTTTTTGAGTGATTGCATTAATGTGGGATATGGTGTGAGAAGATAATATTTATTTTCATCAGGGTTTAGTTGTACTACATTGTGGCTGTTTTCTGATCCACATGGGACTGCGGTATCCCAGAAATAGGTTCTTCGTGAAAGTGTATCCACGAAATGTACTTTATTCTTATAAAAGATAGGGATTCTTTTATAACATCGTTTATCTTCAAAAACGTATAGTGGTGATACTTTTTTAGTACAAGTATAAAACCATAAGATGTTTCCTTCATAGTCTAAAAAATTTGATCTATTTCCAGA